TTCAAAAACAGACTCCAACAAGAAACTGCTGAGCTTGAATTAATATGCAAACTAGATACCATTAACTTGGGTTTCAATAGAGACTGGGTGTGGCTGGGTCATTACACAAATTGAATCTATTTCCCCATGTTAAGTATCCTCACACCTTCTTGTCAACTGTCTAAAATGGGCCATCTTGATTATCACTACAAGTTTTTTTCTCCTGCTGATAATACCTCATCTTAATTAATTAGCCTCTTACAGTTGGTATGGCCACCTTTTCATGTTCTATGTATATATATTTCTTACTATATGTTCCATTCTATACATCTGATGAAGTGGGCTGTAGCCCACGAAAGCTTATGCTCAAATAAATTTGTTAGTCTCCAAGGTGCCACAAGTATTCCTGTTCTTTTTTCATGGTAAAAGGATGTTACTATATGGTGGAAGCAGAAATCAAAATTCCTGAAATTGTATCCATGACAGTTTCCCCTCATGGTGAGGCACACAATGGGAGCCCACTCATGCAGATAATGTTGCAGAGTCTTAGTTTGGCAAACTAGTATAGTTGCCTAAATAGATTAGGAATCACTGTAACAGCAAGCACAATAAGCCTCAATCTTGCATATGGGACTCTCCTTGACATGACTCAGTATTTACTATGATATTTCCATACAGATGGAACCCTAATCTATGTTTGTAAAATAATCACAGATCACAACATTAATCTAAGATTTATATATCTGCATAATTGTAGGTGTTGCCTAAAAATACTATACCAGAAACTATGTACCACTATATAGTCCAGGCTACAACACAATTGCCATTGTATCCTATTTTCATGCACTCATTGCTTTCTGAAAGTCACATTTTGGCCTGATGTGAGGTCACTGATCAAAGGTAATGATTTAATGTTTGCACAACCACTTCAAGCATTCGACTTCAGCAAGGGCTAAACACTTTTCCTTTAAAAAAATTCTAACGAGCGTGAAAGATGTTTGAAACTTTAATCATAGCATTGACATAGTCCTCCATCAAGGACATTGCTTTTGCTTGTACCAGAAAAAAGTGGTTTTGGTTTACTTAAGTTGTGAGCATTTGAAAGCTACAAACTGAGCATGGGCAGTAATTTCTTTCCCATTATTTCTGCAACTTTTTTTCCCTTGGCCGCAGTTAATGTATTTCTAACCCAATTGTTTATGTTAAAAAGGGATATAGGGCTTAGGATATATGGCCTTGCAAATTTATCTGAATGCCTAGTTTATTTTATTAGTATGTTTAATTCTCATTTTTTAGGCTTTTTTTTTCCCAATGACGCAATTGATGAAAGAAATTAATAGTATGTTAAATTAAATTGAGCTCTGCAGTTGTAAGTTAGAGTTGGATGTTCCACTCCTTTCAAAATGAGAAATAAAAATATTTAGTCATGCACTTGAAATGCACTACATATGTGTTATTCAAAAGGCTACAAAAAAGGGTGCACTCTTCAAAAATAGCTTGACCACTTTATATTCATAATGCTGGTATTAATGCACAGTTTTTCTTTAAAATACGGCTTGAATTAAATCTCAGTAAGATCTCAGACAGGACAAATGGGGGAGGGGAATCAGAGACTGAAGTAATTTTAGTTACAATTTTTAAAATTAGCAAAAGCATTCTGAAACAGGACATGAACCAAAACGGTTCTGAATGTTGTTTCTTCAATGGTATGCTCTTGCCCCAGGATTAGCCTCACTGCTACCTCCACAGATTGTCCTCTTGACATCTAGTCATGCCTAAGACCTTCAAGCCACATAAACAGTTTAAATTTATTTAAATTGTTGTATCAGTATAAGTTGCTTATGCAGCTTAAATACCTTGAGTCAGTTTGAAATACAACACAAATTTTAGAAATTTTCAGGGAAGTCAACAAAACAACCATGGGGCTGTATAGCTGGATGGGAGGCACTTCTGTTGCTGTAAGGATGTTTTTACACATGGAGATGTCCAAAGTCACAAAGGGAACTTAAATAACCCAACTCCCATTGAAATCAAATGGGAGCTGGGCACCTACTTTGAAAATCTCCCTCTCAGTGCTTAAGGTTACATTATGGAGCATCCTCACCCCCCCAAAAAAGATAAACCTTCCAGAAATTTCACATGGCACATCTTATCCCAGGTTAGAGTTTTTCTGGAAAGTCAGAAAATTAGCTTTAAAGTAACATCCTCTGAACATGTGCCTGAAGTTAATTGATTCTTTTTAAGCAATTTTTGTTCATATCTCCAAAATGGCTTAGCATAGAACCCCCTAAATTTGATTTGCTGGCCTAGCTGAGACGTGCATTTTAGTTGGGTAGTGTTTTGGGTTTTTTTTGTTTTGTTTTGTTTTTTTTATGGGGGGGGGGCCTGAGGAGTGTGCATGTGTGGAGGTCGGGAGGAGGTAAAGGCAGTTGTGATATACCACACTGAGACAGGTAGGGAAAGGAGTTAACTAGCAGTTAAGGCAGGGTTATAGAAAGGAGTCACCAGACTGTTAAAGGAAGGGCCTTGGGGGAAAATAAAAAAATTCTTGCCCATCTATGCCACAAGATAGGGAAGAACCCAAGGACTATATATAGCTTACAAAAGCCTTTTGTAAACTATAGATTATTTGTTTTCACCCTGGCTGAAGCATACCACTATTTGTTGCTTGCTGAGTTTTACTCAACCAGGCAAAAGATGGTACCAGTTTCCCCAACTTTTGTTGCCTGCAGCTACAGCCAAGGCCATTCTTACACAGCTGAGCGTGCAGAGCAAAGTTTAAAATGATTGTAAAAGGTTGTTAAACACAAATTTATCTGCTACTGACTCCAGGAATGGTTTCTTGGTAGACAGTAAAAAATTTGGAGTCTAGGAATCCAAAAGGGGGGCAACACCCTGGACGGGGCATAGACTTCAGGAAGAGATTGCTTCCTGGTCATGGAATGAGGAGCACCAAGGGAGGAAGGAGGCAGGCATAGAGAATAGAGGCATACACATAGAGGGACAGAGAAAATGCAGACTTATTTATGTTTGTGTTTGAAGTTTAACATTTTACAGATTTAAGCATGCAAAGTTTTCAGTTTAGTTTAACAACACCACTTCTCCTCCTACAGACTTATTGAAGTGTAGAGGAGGGGAGACCTGCTCTGAAAAGTCATAAGATGTGTCAGAGGCTAGGTCTATACTTGAAAGTTTTATCAGCATAGCTGCATCAGTCAGGGGTGTGAAAAACCACACCCCACTTAGTTATGCTGGCATAATCTTCAGAGTAGACAGAGCTATGAAAACCTACATTGACAGAAAAACTGTCGGTGTAGGCCGCATCTACAATATGAGGTTATGCCAACACAGCTATGGTGCTACAGTCTCCATAGTGTAGAAATACCATCAGCAAGGTGCTCTATTGCTGTACAATGTTTCACACACTCATTCTCACCCCACCCAGTTTACACCTCCAACCTAGTTAACTACGTTCCCTAAATATTTTTTAAAGATATGCAAGAGGTAAACACAAATTATTAAGCTATGATTGCACACTGATTTACTGAGTGGGAACTGAACATGTATAATCTTGATTTTTTTTAAATATTTTCAAAATTTTGGAGCAAAGATAATTTTGTGTGGACACTGCAATTTGGGCGGGTCAAATGCAACAGGATTATGGGGCAGTGTGGAACAGGTTGAATGCCCTAACAGTTCTTTTTGAGATATTCTGATTTTTTTGTTTGTTTGTTTTTTAAAGATGAAATTTTGATAAAGAAAGGTAATATTGGTTTGAGGTGCTAGCTAGACTCCTCCAAAACACACTTTCAACTTTACCGCTGTTAAAAAAAGTCTGTAATTAAATATAGAGGTAAACCTTCAAATCTAAAACTAACCTTTGGCCAAAAGCTATCAGTTATAAGTCTCCGAAGTTGAAACTAATGGTTACCAGTTGGCTTTACCATTTGGTAGCTACTAAAGATCTGATAACTCTCTCTATCTCATTTCCTTTAATTTATTGGTGTTTTAGTTTTTAAAGGCAAAACATTTGTTAAGGTTATATATTTAAGCAATTAGAAATAGAATATGAAAAAAATAAAGATAAATGCACAGTTTAAACCCTGATAACTCACACGTCTTATGATAGTTTAGTTATTTGATCATGACTCTTAGATACAAGTGCACCCAGAGTTGCAGAAAACACATATCTGAAAAATAATATATTTAATAACCATTATAATGCAAACGTAACAGAAAACAGAGTGTAGATTATATATTTAGACTTCGCTTTGGCATTGCCATAATTTTGGTTGTATTAAGAGTTATATATTGTGTATTTTAATTGGTTATAAAAATCACATTGTTTCCTCCCTCTCTTGCTCCAATTTTATAAAAGGCTTTAAATATTATTCTTTGATAATTTTTTTTTCCTTGTGGCTGGTAATTTTATGCCTTCCAAAAAAAATTTACAATGTATTTCAAGGAACTGAATGCAATGAGTCCCATCTAACCACAACAACATTTTAAGTGTACTTTAACAATAACCGTCCTTTTCCTAAAGAAACATCTTGACCCAAGTTTTCAAAAACCTTTAATGTTGCCCACAAACTGATGTAGGCTTCTGAATGGGTCTAATTACAAACAGAAATAATTGCAATATTGAAGGCCAGATTGAGGAGCTGCTTAACAAATATAACATCTGCACATGAAATAAACAGATGAGGGTGTTTTGAAAGGTAGATAATTGGTTATGGTGAGGATGTTATCGAACAACAATATAACTGGCCATGTTGAAGTATATATTTTCTTTAAGGCATGTTCAGGGACAGTTATTTTCAAACAACATTTCTGCTTGTTCTAAAATGCTCTGTAGTTTTCCTATGTGCTCAGATAGTTGATTAGTAGTTTAAGTCTCAGGAAAGGAATACCTGGGGTGGAATCCTGGCCAAATTGAATTCAACAGGAGTTTTGCCATTTACTTCAATGGGGCCAGGATTACACCCCATAGAGTTCATCCAAACAAACAAAAAAATACATACTCTGGCAGTTTCAGCTCTGACCTTCCTCTTTTTGAAATAAGGATGAAATTCAGCCATGACGTAAAGTAGGTAGAATCTCATTGACCTCACTGGAGTCACACTTGCTTATACCTTCACATAGCGCACAGTCAACTTGTGGAACTCCTTATCTGAGGAGGTTGTGAAGGCTAGGACTTTAACAGCATTTAAAAGAGAACTGGATAAATTCATGGAGGTTAAGTTCATTAATGGGTAAGGAATGGTGTCCCTAGACTCCGTTTGTCAGAGGGTGGAGATGGATAGCAGGAGAGAGATCACTTGATCATTGCCTGTTAGGTTCACTCCCTCTGGGGCACCTGGCATTGGCCACTGTTGGTAGACAGGATACTGGGCTAGATGGACCTTTGGTCTGACCCAGTACGGCCGTTCTTATGAGTTTTGTCCCAAGAGAGTACCGTGCAGTTTTTTGGGAAAGGGACATGTGTGTTTGGCTGAGAACTTAAAAACCAACTTCCCTTCCTGTTGTGCAGTTCTCTGACTCTGCCCGGTTTCCCCCTCTACTGAAAAGATGGCGGATTTTCAGTGGTGCTAGGGAAGTATGAAATAAAGCACTTTAGGATCTCTGGAGATGAAAAGGTATATGCATACAGTTAAACACCAACTATGTTTTACGATGCAAGTAGCTGCACTTCAATAATAAGGAAAGTAATTCCTGTAAGTGTACATATACACACATACAAGCTTTACAAAATACCCTCTATTATTTGTTAATATGCAAAGAGTTCTGGGATAGAAAACGCAATGAGTTTTAGCAGCTTATTATTTCTACCTTACAGAACTGAGTGAGTACACAGCAGAAGTAGGACAGTTTTCTGATTCAACAACATGAATTTTTAGTTACAGCCGGAATGAAACAACTGTTTTGAATGCAAAAAGTTGCAAGAAGCAAAAAGATTCACTCACAAGCAAAACCAACTTTACTTCCTGTTTATTGGAGAAAACCAGAAGACCTAGAATTCAGAGACAGGCAGGAGTGCAAAGAATCTGTGAACTCACTCTACCCCAAAAATACTTTAAAAAATATATATCTTATTTTAACTCCAACACCACAAGTCATTTCTACAAAGACTAACAAAATACAGTTCTCCCACAACTAAGTAAATACATAGTTCCTTCAATATACCCATCCATCTCACATGGCGGCCCACCCCAATTCAGCCCACACTGGGCAACGCAGGCTTTCCCATTGCCACCAAAGGTAATACAGCAGCACCCGGTCTCTGTGGTGGGAGCTCCCTGAGTTACTGAGGGCTGCTCTCTCCCCTTTCTACAGGATCTGTCATGCATACCCTATTTCCAAAGTCAGGCACAGTGAGGGGAGTTTTTCTCCCCCAAGTTCTACCTAGTATTCTCTATTCCTCTTCCACTGCACACCACCTGCATTAACCACAGAGGGGGGTACTACATCACAAGGTTCTGGTCTGCAGCCCTAGCTCTCCATAAGCTCAATAGATGAGACACTAAGTCAAATTAGCTTGACCCCCATATTCCCTGAATTGAGCACTGAAGTCAGTTCATTCCCCTGCCCCTGGGCTCTTCCCTCCCATTCCCTCTATTCGTTCACGTTGATTCCTTTGCCTCCTAAATCCCCTCTAAATCCTCACTTGGGCATTACACTGAAGCCCAGAGCTAAGACTCTGTCCTGTGCCCAATAATGCTTTTATTGGGCAATAAGGTGAGCTCCGCTCCCGCAGGCTGGGCTATTGAGCTACCCCATACCACCCAAACTGGTTACCGAGGTGGGATAGCCCAGCCCCAAGTACTGCAATACTGTCCGTCACCATCTGCAGCAGACTGGTATCCATCCCCCTTGGCTGTACAATAAGCCGCTCTGCATTAGACACTGAGATGAGTGTTGTCCCTCCTACTCGGCCCTGCCTTTCAGACACCCACACCTCGGCAGTGGGTACTAAATCATCATCTCCCCTTGGCTCTGCCCCGCCGCTTCCCTAGCCTCTGTACGGGCACTGAGGTCCGCTCCCTTCCCGCCGTTCGGATTCGGGCTCCGCTCTCCCAGGCTCTGCCAGGCGGAGACCCCAGGCCCGCCGCACGGGGCCCGAGGATGCCCCCGCCACCCCGTCCTGTCCCGCAGCCCTTTACGCGCCGCATGAGGCACGGAGGTGGAACTCCTGCCCTGCCGCACCTACCCCTGAGGAGGGATGCGCTACCGTACCGCCCCCTGCACCGGGGCTCCGCTGAGGACCCCCCCCCCCAGGTTCTGGCTGTCGCCGGGCCCTGTCACCCCGACTCAGCCCAGACACCAGCTCCCCTTTGCCAGAGAGAGGCAGGTACAGCCCCGCCCCCACCCCGGAGCTCTTGCCGCCCACAGAGCGGAGACCCGCTTCCCCACCCCCGCCCCAGGCCCATTTCGAGCCCCCTCACAGACCTGTGGATCCAGCCATCTTGTCCAAACCCCGCCCACCGGCCCGAGCCTGCGCGCCCTACGTCACCTCCGCCTCACGCAATGCGTCACTTCCTAATAACAACCCGCGGACTCGCGAAACTAGCAGGAGAAACAGAAGCCAGCCCCGCATCCATAAGAAGGGGCGGTGACGAGAACGCGGGCCCATGTCGCGAAACTTGGTCAAGTATGGGTGATACCATTATCACCAGGGGGAAAGGGGGAACCTTGCCTGGGAATCTGATCTAGGCTCTACGTGAGTAAATTCCCTGTATTGTGGGAGAATCGGGCTCCTGTCAGACTTTGCTCTGTCCCCGCAGAGAGGCTCACAGAGCCGCTAGGGGGCGATCGTCCGTACCTGGAACCTAGATGCGTGGTTCCGTCCCCCTTTCTGGGCCGAGTTGGGCTCTCCCGGGCGACGATTGGTAGGAAAACACGTGAGAGCCCGCCCACGTGACCCTTTTGGCGCGCAATTTTCTCGGGGTTCACGGGCTGGCCGAAGGTGCTTGCAGAAGAAAAGTGGGATAAGAGCGCGAGTCACCGCCGCCCCTCCCCCCGGATATCTGCGCGCGAAGGGGCTCGAGTGGCGGGTGCGTCCCTCTGGGGCGGGCTCGCGGCGCTGAAGGGGGCGGTGCGGTGCGGGGACTCCGTGTCGTGCCGTTAATTCCCAGTAACTTGTTGGTCTCAGGGCCCGGCTCGGAGCAGGTGCCGCGGGGCGGCGCAGAGCAGGGCTGTCTGCTCCCGGTGCGGGGCTCGCGGGAGAGGGGCTCGGTGCGGGCTCTGGGCCGGGAGGGGGGCGCTCTGCTCCGCTCCGCCTCAGTTTCTCTCTCCACCCGCGCAGGGAGCAGCAGCAGCCGGTGAAGCAGCGTCATGTCCTCGCCGGCCTCCACACCGAGCCGCCGCGGCAGCAAGCGCGGGCGGAGCAGCAACCCCCCGACTCGTAAGTGCAGCTTTTCCCTGCCGGGTGCGTCGGGATGGGGCGAGGGGCCGCTGACTGCTGCCGCAGCCCTGCAAACTCCACTAGGAGATGAGTGTCCGTCCCGGAAGGCATGGGCAGGCCAAGCAATGTCTGGGGAGGGGGACGTGGGCAGCCCCTCGCTCTCTGTTTGGGCCTCAGTAAAGGTATATTCACAGTACAGAGAACATAAGAAAGACCACACTGGGTCAGACCAAAGGTCTATCTAGCCCAGTCGCCCGTCTTCCAACAGTGGCCTATGCCAGATGTCCTAGAGGGAATGAACAGAACAGGTAATCATCAAGTGATTCATCCCCTGTCGCACATTCCCAGCTTCTGTCAAACTGAGGCTAGGGACACTATCCCTGCCCATCCTGGCTAATAGCCATTGATGGACCTATTCGCCGTGAATTTATCTAGTTCTTTTTTGAATCCTGTTGTAGTCTTGGCCTTCACAACATCCTCTGGCAATGAGTTCCACAGGTTGACTGGGATTTGTGTGAAAAAAAACTTCCCTTTTTTTTTTTTTTTTTTTAAACCAGCTGCCTATTAATTTCATTTTGTGATCCCTAGTTCTTGTATTCTGAGAAGGAGTAAAGAACACTTCCTTATTTACTTTCTCCACACCAGTCATATCCCCCTTAGCTGTCTCTTTTCCAAGCTGAAAAGTCCCAGTTTTACTAATCTCTCATCATGGAAGCTGTTCTATACCCCTAATCATTTTTGTTGCCCTTTTTTGTACCTTTTCCAATTCCAATATATCTTTTTTGAGATTGGGTGACCACATCTGCACACAATATTCAAGATGTGGGCGTACCATGGATTTATATAGAGGCACTATGATATTTCCTGTCTTATTATCTATATTCTTCCCATGATTCCCAACATTCTGTTAGCTTTTTTTGACTGCAGCTGCACATTGAGTGAATGTTTTCAGAGAACTATCCACAGTGACTCCAAGATCTCTTTCTTAACTGGTAACAGCTAATTTAGATCCCATCATTTTATATGGATAGTTGGGATTATGTTTTCCAATGTGCATTACTTTGCATTTATCAACATTGAATTTCATCTCCCATTTTGTTGCCCAGTCACCCAGTTTTGTGAGATCCTTTGTGAGTCCTTCGCAGTCTGCTTGGGACTTAAATATCTTGATTAGTTTTGTATCATCTGTAAATTTTGCCACCTCACTGTTTTACCTCTTTTTCCAGATCACTTATGACTATACAGTACTGGCGTGGCATAGCTGCGCTGCTGTAACCCTGGCCCGTAGCATAGGCACTGTCTATGCTGAGGGAACTCTGCTCCCCAAGTGACAGTAGCTACCAACTACCAGCATACACCCAAGGTTGGGTCTTCCTAGCTACACTCAGGAGTGTGGCTTTTTCACATCCCTGACAGTCTAGGCCTAAGCGACTAATGCCCAAGAACAGATGGAGTCTAACTTACTTTCACCCATGTTTGCTCTGCAGGGCTAACACCTTGGGAAGAACAATAAAAGCATTTTTTGTCATTAAAGCAAGGATTTAAAAGTCTTTGGGCATGCAGGATGCAAGAAGTTGTTGGTTTAGACCCTTTTCAGAGGAGCACGACAAGTTAAACAGCATTGATCTTTGTTAAGGCTAAACTGGGCTAAACTTGTTTTTTCTATAAGGCCTTGTCTGCACTACAGAGGCTTTGCCAGCACAGCTATACGAGAAGGTAGGTAATGTCATTTGTAAGCTCAGCGTGCTGTGGGGCAGTCTTTCCCGTTTCTGTGAAAGTCTTCTGTCAACATAGCTGTGGCTACAACTGTGGGTTTTTGCTGGCATAGCTGTGTCAGCTAGGGCTATGTTTTTTTTACATCCCGTCACTGGCATAGCTATGTTGACAAAACTTTGTTGTATGGACCTGGCCTTAGTCTTCAACAATGCATGGGTGCAAGAGGATGCTTTTTAAAAGTAAAACGGAGGCAAGTTTACAAATGTTACAAATATGATGCGTGAAACTTAGCACTGCACTTGAAAAGCGTCGCTTCCGCCTCTCTCTGCCTCGGTTTCCCAAGCTGGATAATGATATTGCTCTCAAAGCACTTTACAAAGGAGTCCACTGATGAAAAGCACTATATGAGCTAGGTTTTCATAGCACTAGTAGTAGCAGCTCTGATTTCTTAGGCATTTAGGAAGATAATTGCAGTATTAATTATTTTAAATTGTCTTAAGCTGTTTTCCACTTTTGGAATCTCACAAATATTTTGCTGAAATGAAAATGAAGAATATTGCACTTTGTTTTTAAATTTTATATCAGCCAAGTTATTGGCTATTCTGTCGTATGATCTATTTTGTGATTTGGTCTTTTAACATTAATCTGTGTAGAATGTTGCAGCTAATGTATGAAATAGCTACTTACCAGCTTTCATCTTCTTCCAGCATGCCCTGAAGATGCTCAGTCTCGTCCTTCACAAAAACGTTGAACAGATGACTCCACATCTACAGGAGATCTACAGCCAATGCGAACTTCTCCAGCAGTGGACATGCAAAGCCCAAATGCTCAAGATGTTCTGTTTTCCAGCCCACCACAATTTCGAGAATCGGGTATGCGTGTCAGTGGTAGGAGCAAAATGCCGATATCTGTGTATTGTTGGCTATTAAATGGCCTATACTGAAAGATTTAATGTACAATTTTACAAAGCTGTCAATTTAAAAACAAAAAGGGCCTTTTTGAATGAACAGGATTGTTTTCAATTAAGGTTAATTGGTGCCTTGCTTTTAATTTAATTAATCGATCTTAGCGCATAAAACATACAACCAGTAACCGTATACTCATCCTAAAACATCCCTTTTTGCCCTGAGTGTGAGGTGCTTGTTAAGTTCTACAGTATTTTAAAATATTGTTGGGGTTTAAAATAAACTATTTTAGCAAAGTGTGTTCCTTCTGGCTTGGAGAAATATGGATTAAAATTTATACAGTACATTCTATGGTTAGTACAGCCTTGTAAAATACAGTTATAAAATTAACAAGACTTACAAACTTTGCTAGCCTGCCATCACACTGACTGACTAACACTAACTTGTTTACTTCATTAGGGCAAAGCATAGTAGTTAATATTTTGAAGTTCCCCAGCACCTCGCAGCCCCACCACTGAGAGCATTGTGCCGGTGGCGCAGTGAACTGATGCTGCGGGGGAGGGGAATGAGCAGGGGAGGGGCCGGGGACTAGCTTCCCGGGCCAGGAGCTCAGGGGCCGGGCAGGAAGGGCCCGTGGGCCGGATGTGGCCCGCGGGCCGTAGTTTGCCCACCTCAGTCCTATACCAACGGGAGAGCTTTTCCTGTCAGCATGGTTAATCCACCTCCTGAGAGGCAGTAGCTGTGCTGATGGGAGAAGCTGTCGTGTCGACATAACATTGTCTACAGAGGGGATTAGACTGGTATAACTGTGTCGCTCGGGCGTGAATTTTTCACACCCCTGAGCAATGCAGTTATATCAATATAGGTCTGTAGTGTAGACCTGGCCTAAAACTCTCCTCTTGTGTCTTGATTACGGCAACACCCTTTTCTCTGGCCTTAACAAATGAAACCTTACCCTGCTCAGGCCAGTTCAGAATGTTGCCACAAATATTTTCTTAGTAGGTTGTTTTGAGCAGATCACCCCTCTCTTTCCATCTCTTCACTGGCTCCCCCTTCTCAGCTGCATTGAGCATAAGCTGCTTGGTCTTCACTTTCAAGGTCTGTCATGGCCTATCCCCACCTTACCCATCAACTCTCATTAACTATTGAGAAGTCTACTTTCTTTTCCAGTTGGACTGCTTCTGTCGCCCATTTGTTAAATTTTCAAATAAGCACCTTTGTGTGTTTTCCCATGCTGCCCCTTACACTTAGGAGGAGTTCCCTGTAAATATCTATAAAGCTACCTTATTGTTCTTCTCTAAAGCTCTTCTTAAAGCTCTCCTTTTCTGTGATGCCTGGCCGTTGTAAAGGTTTTTGTAGGCTGCTGGTGGGCTGAGACCACTGCCTGTCATATTGATCAATACGGTTTCCTTTTTCTTTTTATGTCCCTGTCTGTATCCATCTGTTTTCTCTTGTCTTATACTTGGATGGTAAGCTTTTTGGGAGAGGTCCTTTTGTTCTGTTTGTACAGAGCTTACTATGTTGGGATTTTGGTCCAGGAGTAAGGTTTGTAGGCATTAGGGTGTAATAGAGGTTAAAATCCTAAGTAAAATTTCATATACTTTTTTTTAATGGTAATATGTTTAGCATGTTATCCTATTCCCCAAAGTGTTCTTTTAACTTGTATTTATAAAAAATTAGTTCACTAAAAAAGAATAATAGCTTGATAAGGCTTTTTCAAAGTAATTGGTATGCTTTACTGTGTGAAATTTGAAAGATATTGTTGGAATTAAGAAACTTGTAGTGTGCATGCAAGAAATATCCTGTAAGGGATGCATTAGGGATGCATATATCCCTACCATTTAGGATATATAGAGATTATTTTTGAAGGTAATTTGAGCCAGGAAAATGTCATCCAGTGTAGGAATGTGTAGCAGTGAAGTCACAGCTCTGTCCCTTTGGGCACTCTTAAATAAATTTGCAGTATTCAGAGATTTCTTCAGCGTTTTATTGATCCATTGGCTAAAGAGGAAGAGAATGTTGGGTTGGATCTTAATGAACCACTCTATATGCAGCAACTTGAGGAGGTACTACAGTAATATGGGAGAACATCACCAGACAGACATGTTGTTTTAGTTAAACAAAACAATTTACAACATTAAGTATTCTGGTTCTGCAGTATCAGGATCATAATTTTCAATGTTTTGTCACAGCAGTTTTGTAAAATTTAAATTAGACTAGTGACATTAAAGAAAGCACTTAGAATTTATAATGAATTAACTATAACCTAAAGTTTCAAAAGCACAAAATTTAAATTAGTTTCATAAAGCCTCAACCCAATTTAAATTACATTAATTGAAATAATTTCAACATGCTTCCTCATCTGTTCAAGAAATCAAAAGCTCTAAGTACATGTGAGTTTTTCAAAAGCTGTACCATGATAAAAATACTTGTTTCCCTTTGAAGTATAGGTTAAGAGGTGTAATCACTAATTTTTAGAAATTGTATAATACAAACATGGCAAAAACATATACACCCTTCTGTCTACACAGATATAGTCCCTATTGGTAGCTGTGGTTACATTATTGTTGATCTAAGAAAGGGGGAATATTTAGAACGCTAAAGGTATTTTACACCAAAATTAAGATATCACTATATAATCAGATGGTATTTCCACTTCACACTTAAACAGTATTCTGTCACCAATTATGATGTACTCAGTTAATATTTTACAGATACTATTCCAGACCATGGTGGATAAAAATCAATGATTTCAAAAAAATTAAAAAATCAGATTTTTTTAATTTAAATTGGATTTTTTTGATGAAATGCTTTTTCAGGAAAAAACCTATCTAAAGATAGTTTTAATTAAGATATCTTTGAGCTATAATGTATCTCATCATGGAATAGGGATTATAAATTCTAATTCTATAGTATGAGACAATATATTCATGTCTTGTAAATGAGTTCCAATAGTTCATGGATTAGGTACCCAATCTTATGTGGTTACAGGGGCTTCTGTATATATTCTTTAGGTTAATCTTTCTATCTACCCAATGGGACTCAGTGCTCAGTCTAGAAGATACCCTCAGAGATGCTTAGTTTTACAGTTCTCAAACTGTGGATTTGTGTCTCCAGAGGTAACATGCTTGTTAACAGCAAAGATGTTTTTCTGTGTGTGTGTGTGTATATATATATATGTGTGTGTGTGTGTGTGTATATATATATATAGATATAGATATAGATAGATATATAGCGGTGAGAAATAGCAGACCTTCAACTCTATTGTCCCTCTCCAAATTTGTGTACACAGAGTCAATCCCTTACCTCTCTCTAAAAGTGCAAAGTTTCAAAAAGTTCAATGAATAGAAGATTGTTGGGGGCGGAATAGATCTGGACACGGAGAAGTCTGGAGATAAATGTGAGAAGTGAGAGACATATGCTTGTTTTGTTCAACTATTATATGTTTGCTGTTGAAGAAAAAAATCCAGAATACTTAACGTTATTGTTTTAGTTAAATAAAACAATTTAAATGTCTGCCTGGTGATGTTCTCCTCCTAATACAGCATGGCTAGAAAATCCTCCAAATATTAATGATTAACCTATTGAATTAGAGAGAGTTCACCTCCCAATGACTTCATAAATATCTGCTTCAGTTACCTTTGGTAAATGAAATAATCAATCATTCATTTTCTGATATAGCTGTAAAACTAATCTTAAAAGTTTTCAAAATAAATCACTGTTTAAAAATGTATAGTATGTACCTTCTAAAAATGAAACCTACATCTATCTCTGAGTTGTGAAGAATGTGTATTAAAGTTATAACAACCAACAAGAATGCACTTTTATGTAGAAAACCATGATTAAATGGAATCTTCCTGACTAGTGATTTAAATCATGATTTAAATCAATTTGGTTTAAATCAAATCCACCCTGCTGGTTAGCCTTGATGTAAATCTGTCTAGGGGGTCTTACCCAGGAATACAACAGGTTTGAGATACAAACACACAGCTAAGTTTCATAACTTCATATACAATGATGCTACATGCATACAAACAGGATAATCATACTTAGCAGACTATAACTTTTCCAATGATACCTTACATGACATATGTATAAGATTTATCACAATTGCGCAATGCATTGCAATTGCGCTACACACAATACATGCTCACCTTCTTTTATACAGCATCACACCACCTGTAAAGTCTTTGTTGATGATGAGATCCAGAAAGAACCTAGTTCAATGTTTAAATTCAAAATTGACTTTGCAGAGCTGGCGGTTTAATTTAAAAAGTAATCTAAGCAGATTTGACCTGGAAAATCTTTGAAGCTTCAAAGATAGAACTCCACTACCCTTTTTAGTGATACTTGACAGAAAACAGTACCCCAGCTTTACATGTGTTCTGTTAATGATTTGAGACAATTTTCATTTGACATTTCAGTTAACTCAATCAGAGATTGGCTCATGTAATTATCAAGAATTTTGGTGTCTGAGTTGGAAAAAATCTTATTTTTATAGGGCATTCTGCTTCAGCTGTTTGGGGGACCAAGAAAAGATTTCAGTCATACTGGAAGAGGCAATTTTCGTGCTGAGATCAACATTCTTCTCTGTGATGATCCTGGCACTAGTAAATCACAGCTGCTTCAATATGTCTATAACCTGGTTCCTTAGAGGCCAGTACACATCTGAGAAGGGCTCTAGTGCAGTTGGTCTCACTGCATATGTAATGAAGGACCCAGAGACAAGGCAGCTGATTCTGCAGATGGGTGCTCTGGTTCTCAGTGACAAAGGCATTTGCTGCATTGATGAATTTGATAAAATGAATGAAAGTACAAGATCAGTTCTGCATGAAGTAATGGAACAACAGACTCTATTGCCAGGGTAAGACTCTAACTCAACATTGTACCATGCTACCCAGGTTAATATCTGTTAGATGCTTAATAGGGCTGTCAAAGGATTAAAAAGATTAATCGCACAAGTACAAAGATGATGGCCCAAGCATGAAGGGGCATACGAATGTTTAGCATATCTGGCATGTAAATACCTTGCAATGCTGGCTGCAAAAGTGCCATGCAACTGCCTGTTCTCGCTCTCTGGTGATATTGTAAATAAGAAGAGGGCAACAGTATCTCCTGTAAATGTAAACAAACTTGTTTGTCTTAGCGATTGGCTGAACAAGAAGTAGGACTGAATGGACTTGTAGGCTCTGAAGTTTTACATTGTTTTGTTTTTGAGTGCAGTTATGTAACAAAAAAAAATTGTTTGTAAGTTGCACTTTCACGACAAAGAGATTGCTTGTATGGGGTGAATTGAAAAATACTGTTTCTTTTATCATTTTTACAGTGCAAATATTTGTAATAAAAAATAATGTACACTTTGATTTCAGTTACAAAACAGAATACAGTATATATGAAAATGTAGAAAAACATCCAAAATATTTAGTAATTTTTAATTGGTATTCTATCGTTTAACAGTATGATTAAAACTGCGATTGCAATTAATTTTTTGAGTTAATCACATGAGTTAACTGCAAATAATCGAGACCCCTAATGACGAAATAAGATAATTGAAAAGGTAATGTGGGAACTGGAGAGAAGACTATTGACAGAAATACAACCTCAATGTTGAGTAACAGTATAGATGTTGGAGCTGTATTTCAGTGATAACATTCAGTATGTTGCAGACTCAGTATGTATGGCTGCACACTGCATGTAATACTCCTTCCAGATAACCTTGTTCCATTTTGTACCAAAGCTTTTGTAATGAGGTTGTTTCTCTTGATCTAGAGAACCCTTTTTATAAAGCATTTTTGGTGAACCAGCAAGAGTTAATTCTTTAAAGTATTTTTTGTTAGAATAAGCGAGTCTTGGGACTCTTAACATAGCTGCTGGAATCTTCCTTCCACTAGGAAAGGTTGTTTGCTCTCAAATACGTTTCCTTTTGACAGGCTGGAATTATTTGCCAGCTGAATGCTCGCACGTCTGTCCTAGCACCTGCTAACTCTATAGAGTCGCAGTGGAATCCAAAGAAAACTACTATTGAAAACATCCAACTTCCTCATACATTGTTATCCAGGTATTACAATTAGACTTCTAGTTCCATGATGCATGCTTTGTTTTTACAAAACAACTTTCTACCTCTTCCTGTGTGTGTGTGTGTGTGCGTGCAGAAACATGTTGATTGGGAGTTGCATTTGCAATGTAGAAAGCTGAAGTTTTTTTTCTAAATTTACTTTAAAGGTAATGTTTTTAACTAATACTCTAGCAAAGGACTATAATTGACTGACCAGTATATAGTGCTTGATATTGAATAATGGCATTTGGTAGTGTCGCTAAGGTTTTGTTGTATCCATTGTTCTGCTTGTTTCAAGATTTTGTGTCACTGCACAGGCACTGGGATTTTAAAATCTCAAGTATTTTACATTTAGTTCTAAAGGCATGTATCTACTCTGGAGCTGGAGTGTAATTTCCAGCTCAAGTAGATATACCTGCTGTAGTGGTTATCAAGCTACAGTGCTAAAGATAGAAGTGTAGCCACAGCAGTGCAAGCAGTGGGACAGGATAGGTGCTCCAAGCATGATCCCATCTGAAAGTGCATACTCGGGCAGCTAACCTGGGTATGTCTATCCAAGCTGGAAGTTACACCTCAGCTCCAGTGTAAACATTCCGTGAGTTGCCTTTTCTTCCTGTCAGGCTGTGTTAGTAGCTGGAGTAAGTGTTTAATGAACAATGATAGAGGCATCACATTTTAGGAAAAGTATAAAAATTAGTCTTTAAGCCATTGCATGCTTTACAAATTAGGAAGCCAAATATAATAGTATACAAGTGTATGGTTTGTATTCTTATGTCAAGTGTCACCCTGTTTTTTGTGGGCCTGAGCCTGTTGATGATAAATTAAGGTTTTTAACCTCTTAAAATAGGTACTATATCTCCTATCATGAGGCACCTAGAACTCTTTTAGGCAGTGTAGAAAATAAGTAACTGTGGATGATAAGCATCTAATTCCATTGATTTAATAAATGTCAGGTAGTTGTCATCTTTTGAAATCTAACTAAAAATATGCCCATCACATTCTTCTCAGAATACAGTTGCACCCATGAATTATTCAATACATTAAGCAGACAAACTTCAAATACGTGTAAATAGATTTCCCCCTCAAGATCAAACTGGAAGCATGTGTAGACGCCACCTCATCACACAGAATCTTGAGTAAATGAAGTTTACGCTATGCCTTCAAGGTCCCAGCCTTCAGAGGTTGTTAGGTGAATGATGGGAGAAAATTCCATAGTTGGAAGCCCTCTGAAAACATCCTGCCTTCAAATATTCAACTCTGTAGACAGAAAGCAAAATCACATTTTCACTCTCTTTTTTTACCTCCTGAGAGTATCGTGTACTCCTGATGTAATGAATAAAATGTTAGATTTTAGATTTCAGACAGCTTCCGCTTGGTTGATCAAAATCATAAAACCAAGTAGTGTAAATGGTGGGGAAAAGTTTATGCACTAACTATTGGATCTTTATTCCATGCACATTTGATCTGATCTTTCTAATGTTGGACCCACATGATGAGGCCTGTGACAGACGTCTTGCTCACCACTTGGTTGCGCTGTACTACCAAAGTGAAGAGCAGGTGGAAGAAGAGTACATGGACATGGCAGTATTGAGGGATTACCTTGCGTATGCTCGTAGCTATGTTAATCCTAGACTAAGTGAAGAAGCAAGTCAGGCCCTTATTGAGGTAAAAAGATGTGGATGTGAAATTTAAAGTAAAAGATTTAAAAAGTGGAGTGGGGGAGAACCTTCCTGTGAGATAAGATGTACCAGAACAGTGTACACCATTTCCTTTATTATTAGGCTCTTGAAATCTTTTTAAAATCTGTGATATGTATTGACTATTCTCCTTCCTTTTAATCCTGCATGGAAGTCATCCTTTCCCAACCTGTCTGTCCCTGAGCAGGTTTCCTGTACTCTTACAGGGCCATCGCATCATTTCAGTAGAACTTTCTCATGCTTTTGTGTAGATATTCCTGTACAGATAGTAGTGATAGGCTTTAGCATTCTACATATTCCTTTGTGGTTTGAGACCAGATTTAGCATTAATGATAACTGTCTCAGTTTCAGGGTAACTGCTCCTGTATTTTCCCCCTCCATGATTCACTCTGGAAAAGCCCAGTCAAATCTTCAGTCATCACCTGTCTCTGGATAGGGACCCTTCTGACAAGGGATATTAAGGCTGCACAGCTCCCTGCTATCCACTGTGATGGCCCCAGCTAGCTAATCTACTTAAAGCAGTGGTTTTCAAACTGCAGGTCGCAACCCAGTACTGGTTCGCGGAATGTAAGGCACTGGGTCGCGGTAGCTCTGGTCAGCACCACCAACCGGGCTGTTAAAAGTCTCATCAGCAGTGCTGCCTGGCTAAGGCAGGCTAGTCCCTACCTTTTCTGACACCGCAGTGTGCCCTGGAAGCAGCCAGCAGCAGGTCCGGCTCCTAGGCAGGGGGGCCACGGGGCTCCACATGCTGCCCGAGCCCCAGCTCTGCATTCTCATTGGCTAGTTCCCAGCCAATGGGAGCTGGGGGGCAGTGCCTGCAGGCGAGAGCCGTGCGGAGCCGCTTGCTCACCTCCTGCACCCCAAACCTCTCATCCCCAGCCCCCTAATCATTTTTGTTGCCCTTTGCTGGACTCTTTCCAATTTTTCCACATCTTTCTTGTAGTGTGGAGCCCAAAACTGGACACAGTACTCCAGATGAGGCCTCACCAATGTCGAATAGAGGGGAATGATCATGTCACTCGATCTGCTGGCAATGCCCCTACTTATACAGCCCAAAATGCCATTAGCCTTCTTGGCAACAAGGGCACACTGTCAACTCATATCCAGCTTCTCGTCCACTGTAACCCTTAGGTCCTTTTCTGCAGAACTGCTGCCTAGCCATTTAGTCCCTAGTCTGTAGCAGTGCATGGGATTCTTCCGTCCTAAGTGCAGGATTCTGCACTTGTCCTTGTTGAACCTCATCAAATTTCTTTCGGCCCAATCCTCTAATTTGTCTAGGTCCCTCTGTATCCTATCCCTATCCTCCCAGTTTAGTGTCATCTGCAAACTTGCTAAGGATGCAATCCACGCCATCCTCCAGATCATTAATGAAGATCTTGAACAAAACTGGCCCCAGGACCGACCCTTGGGGCACTCTGCTTGATACCGGCTGCCAACTAGACATGGAGCCATTGATAACTACTCGTTGAGCCCGACGATCTAGCCAGCTTTCTATCCACCTTATAGTCCATTCATCCAGCCCATACTTCTTTAACTTGCTGGCAAGAATACTGTGGGAGACC